GTTAACCAGCATTTAAGCCTGCAGTCATTGACCATTTAAATTAGGTGCAAGAATGGGAGAATTGACTTAAAGAGATCCAATCCATGTTCTATCCAAGAACTTGAATAAAGTTTAACAATGCAGAAGAAATGAACATATAAGTGATTCTACCTTCCACCATTTAATCTCCCTGCATGTCTTTCCATCAAGCCAAGACAGTATGCTACATACAGAATAAGTAAGAGTGTTTGTGATCCAGTTTAAAAAGTATTAGCAATTCTAGCTTTAAAATGAAATTAAATGGAAAAGTTTTCTAAAAAGACTTTTTGTTTAAATTAGTACTGATAATTCAAGTGTAATCAAGTCATCTTTTGAATTATCTGCTGTATTGGGAAGATTTGGAGGAAAAGAAGACAAGACTCCTAATATGACAGCAGTATTCTAGAATATGAACTGTGTAGTATTCCAACCTTTGCTCTACATGGACCTCGAATTATAGTTCACTCATTATTGAAGTCATTATGACCAATGAACATTCTATTTGCTGTATAATTTAGATTAATCCATATCTTATTGCTTAATTGACTTGCAGATTTTTTAAAAAATCTGCAAAGAAATTCTAATTGCATTTTGTTAAGTGTCATATGAGTCATTCTAATATGTAGATATAGCAATGTTAAAATTGCCAATTCTTCCACTTTTAGAGATCACAGAATCACAGAATCACAGAACGTTTTGGGTTGGAAGAGGCCTTAAAGATCATCTAGTACCAACTCCCATGCATGGGCAGGGACACCTCCCAGTAGGCCAGGTTGCTCAAAGCCCCATCCAACCTGATCTTGAACACTTCCAGGGATGAGGCATCCACAGCTTCCCTGGGTTACCTGTTCCAGTGTCTTACTGTGATAAGACACAGCAAATACATGCCCCTTTTGATTTCTAACTTGGTATGATAAAGACTAATTGTCTAAAAATACTTTTCTTACTAAGGATTAATTATGGGAAAAAAAGAAAGAAAAAAGAAAGAAAGAAATCTATTATCTGTTGTTGCTGGGTTTTTTGTTTGTTTTGGTTGTTTGGGGCTTTTTTTTACCCTCAGTTTAAGCCACTTTTAAATCATAAAACCATGATTAAAGAAACTATAAGAAAAAAAATACAGAAAATTCAAGTTTTTCATCTATACTGAATACCTGTGTTTACTTTCTTCATTCTATCACCTATTGGTCACCTGTACTAGTTACATATTGTCTTTTAGACAGTAAACTCTTTAGAGCAAGAGCTGTGTTTTACTCTGCTTTATGGGTTCCAGCACAATGCAGCACCTACTTGATTTAACCTCCACCTGCTCCTGTAATACAAATTGCTTATACTAATGTTCAGCTGCAAGAAAGTGTTGACTAAGGCACTTTTTATTTTACATGCAGTTTTGGGAAAGACATGCAATTACCCTGTGTGTGACAATGCAACACGGTATTTAGGTGACACTTGTGTCTCATTTTGAGAAACGTATTGATATATAAATTGTTAGAGATTTTTGAAAGGATCAGGCAAAAGATGTGTGCCAGGTAGTCTGAATACTGATCAAGTATGTTTCATGAAGTTGTTACAGGCATAGAATGATAGCAACAGGTTGTAATGCTGTCACCACCTTGGCAGCCCTTACTCCAATATATGTCTTTGTCAGCATGAGGTGAACACTGAATCTGTGAAGTGCTCTGAGCTTGGTCTTCCTTGCACCACACATTTCATAGCTTCTAAAAATCTTTGTCCTTTGCTGATATAGGAAGATGATTTAGATTCACCCCCTTTTTATGGCCTTGCATACTAACAAGAGAGTTTTGTTTCCTTCATTGGGATATTTTCAAACTGTCTTTTTTTTCTCAGTTCTCATTACTATATCAAACCCTTAGCACTTAGCATGTTCCACACTTCGGCAGGACAACTCGTGCAGGAAGTACTGAAATGTTTTGCAGAATGAAGAGGCTGATGGTGAACTTACTTTTTTTTCCTGTTTCTTTTGGACCATAGAAATTGATCAAGTATGTAAAATATATTTTTTTCAGCTATCAGACTCAAAATGTCCTAAATTTTCTTGTGAACAATTTCCAGATAAATGTTTCAACAGAGGTATCATCAGACCCAAAAGCACGTGGAACATGTCCCAATAGTGACTGTCACAACAGCTACAATAAATTTTAAAGAGATGTGCAAGATTCTGTACATAGTTTTAAAGGCTGTGGTAACATTGTCAACCCTGTGGATTCAGTCAAGATTGACTTAATGTGCACAGGTGATGCTACTAACTGTATGCGGGTCAACTCATAGGAGTTTATGATCAGACCTATCTAAAATATTGATTTGCAACAACCTGTCCTAAGTGAATTTATACTGATTATCATGAACGCTCCCAAATTTTGGATGCATATGTAAATTACTTTGGAACTAATAAAAACAATGAGATTTGTATTTATTTTTCTGGTCACACACACAGAATCAGCAATTTATTCTTTAAATCCATTAACAGAATACCCAAGTCAAGAGAAAACAATGGTACCACCCTAGACATCAGCTGCCTAATTTTGGAAAGGAAAACTACTCGTTTAGCACAGAGCAAAGTCTAGTAAAGGCATGATGCTTGAATTAAGGAAAACAGTAAAAGTATATGGTTCAGTCAGCTGAATATATATGCAAAGGTAGTGATGTGTGAAGCAACAAGTAATCTTGATTGTGTGGATATTAGATTCAAAGAAGTCATGCTGAACAACTTGATCATTCTTTTATTTTCTCAAAGTAATGTCAAACTTCTTACCAGCTGTGATAAGTCTCTGAAAGGCAGAAAAAATGGGAAAAGGGTATTCTCCTTTTGCATATGCCAACATTGTACTTCCAGCTGTCAATACAGCTATTTTCTATCATGAATCTGTATCAATGCTTGTGACAACTGAACAGAAGGAATCAGAAAGATGGACATGTTCTCTCTCAGTCTCATTCTTTTACACACCTATTAAATCACCTGATGAGAGTGATGAATTGGATGGAATGTAATCCTGTCAGGTTTGAAGATGACATTAGATTGAGGGGAGCTTTGAATACATCCAAGGGCATGGCTGCCATCCAGAGGGGCTTTGGACTGCTGGAGGAATGGGCTCAGAGAAGCCTTCTGAAATTCAAGGATAAATGCAAATCCCTCCACCTCTTTCGCAAGGAAGATTCCCTTGCGAAGATACAGACAGGGACAGGGGACAGCTCTGCAGAAGAGCCCCTAGAGATCCTGGCAGATATTGAATTGAACATAGGATAGCAGAATCCCCTGGCAGGAAGATGGTCAATGGTATCCCAGATCCCATACCATTCTGTGGTATGGCTTGTAAATCAGGGAAGTGATTACCTCCTTGTACTCAGCACTCACTGGGTTATTTCTTGGGTATGGGATGTCTGCCCACCTGAGGCCTTCCAATAGAGAAGACACCAGATCACCATGTTGGTTGGTATCTGCATATATGTCAGGAGAGGCTGAGGAAGATGGGCTTGCTTCATGGGGAGAAAACAGCAGCCCTCCAGCACCAAATGGAGCCAGGCCCTGCACAGTGGAGTGTGGGACAACAAGACACAACAGGCGTTAGCTGAAGCAACAGGAGTATTATCAAATACAAGAAGAAAGTTTCATGACAACATGCCCAAGGAGCATATGCAACCTTCTTGCTCTTTGATTTTGAAGACCAAATTGACTAAAGCCCTGTTTGGCCTTGCAGCTCACTCTGCTCTGAGCAGGAGGTTGAACTAGAGACCTCCTGAGGTCTGTTCTGACCTGACCTATGAACAGTTGAATCAATAGGGATTATATGGCTGCTAACAGTTCTCTTAATTTCATTGACTCTGGGAGACAACCAGAGTGCATAAATTTTTTTTGGTTGGTGGAGGGGCATGTTCACCAAACCATACATTTAGGTTTTATGTCTATGCAAATCAGAAGTTTGCTGAGATAAAAAGCAAGAATGTGTCCCAGAGTTTTGCCCCCAGCATGGAGATAAGAGATATCCATGTCAAGCCCAAAAATTCAGGAGCTGGAAAGAGTTCCTAAGTCTACACCTAAGTTTACACCCTGATACAGGATGTAGAAAAATGTGGCAAACAAGTTTGTAAACTTAGCTGATAGCCTTAGTGCAGTGCAGCCAGTAGCTAATTTTAATGATTAGTAGAGAGATGTGAAAAATGCACATACAGGATTTAGGGAGACAAGTGCTGTTTCCAACACACAATGCACACCTATGCACAGCATAAACATCTTTTTAGATTTTGAGCCATAACCTAACTGCTAGACTTCCCGTGTATTTACTGAAAGTATGTAACTTCATCCTTAGGTATATTGTCACTGAATTTTTACTGATTCCTTATCTGTATGATTTTGGCTTTGAGGAAGAAATTTTATTATCTGTTTTTCTCCTTGTGGCACAGAGAATGATGTCTAGCATAAATCAGACAAGAGATTGCCTTGTCAACAAATGCATTGAAGTATAAACATTTTTCTTATTGCCACACTTAATTTAGCTGGTTTTTACAGGTAAAGCTAATCCAGTCACCTATGCTATGCCAAAAAAAGGACACACAAGCTTAAAGCAAGTGCATTTATTATGTAAGTTTGATTACATGGAGAATTTAGTATCTATCACTTCTGTAGAGTGAATTGATTGGCTTACAGAATTGGCAGGAAATATTTACTATAAGTGAAGATGTTGTTTATTAGTGATGACTGCTTATCTACCTGAAACATACAAACAAATTTGTGGAAAGCTGAAAGGGAAGATTATTGGGTTTTGCAAATGCAGCAGCACTGAATTACAAAGGAAAACTGACTTGAAAATGTAGAGTAGGTAATAAAATGGGTGTATCCTTGAGTGCCATCAGCACTGGGTTGTGCATTATATATGGAATAATTAAATGATGCCTGTAAGTAAATGAAGCAATATGTAATAGGAAAGCAGAGACAATGCAATGACTGACTTATAAATATTGACGTAGACATGAAGATAGGTCAGAATGCATTTAGAGAGGGCATGCCAAAAGATGGTATTTTTAACAATCAAGTTCTACTAGACTTCTTTCCAGAAGTGTAGTCTTGAGCTTAAACAAAGATTTGAATCTGATGCAGAAATTTCTGGATAAATGTATCCTCTGTATTACATAAGTGGTCAAATTATTTTATTAGAATAATCTCTTCTGGCCTGAAAATCTGCACCTTTACAAATGCACTGTAGTTGGCATAATGACTTGTTTGATAAGTGTGTCATAGTAGCCAGGCTACGTGTGAGGATTCAGATAGCTGATGGCCATAATGGTGTGTTGCTTTCACAAATTGCTGGGTTTGGAGATCTCTGAGTGGTATAATAACAAATTGCAATTTGTGAGCTGTGAGGCAAATGTTTCTAATCCGTTCAGGTTCTTATCATTTGAACGTGTAGACATGGTGGGCACCCACAATTACTAATTAAATCAGTAGGAGGTGCAGATACTTAGCAGGTATTAAAATCACGCTCATAAATGTTGGTAGATATCTATTTCCAGAGATAGAGTTGAATGACAATCCCATAATTAAATTAGGAATCCCATCCAGAGCAGGCCTATTTTATGGTACATATGTAATTTAATGCAACAATAAGGAAGAGGACTGTTTAATTTAGTGCTGCTGAATATTTTATATGAAGAAATTGAGATTTTGGAGGCATTTATGGCTAAGCAAGTTAGTAGCACACTGTAGACAGCATGTAGAATTTAGCCACTGTTTTAATTTGTTCTTGCGATAGCTTCATGCAGTGGGTTAAAAAGACAAGGTTATGTTTCACTGCAGGTTATCCACAATAAGGTGTCCAGATTCACTTTTTCTTAAGTTCAGATACGAATACTGTGGTTGAACTTAATTACTGAAGTAAAATCTACTGAGAGATAATCAGATGAGAGTAGCATTAACAAACCTAATTTTCTTTCCTTAGGACTTGTTTTAGAAAACATCTGATATCTAGTGAAATATTTAAGCAAATTAGCTAAATTAAGCATATGTTTAACTTTGACTAAATTGGACCATACTTTCTTTAGGGAGCTATTTTCACTGGATATGTTAGAATCTTCGTTGTGAATTTATTTTAATATTTGAAATATAAGTACTTATGAGACATAATTTCTCATTTTTTAGAGTTTAACCAGAGTGCTAAAAACTGTTTTTTGCCTCAGAACTAATCTGAGGTAAACATGACACAACAAGCCATTAACTCATTTATTCATAGCATTTTACCGTGTTTTCATTACCCTGAAACTTAAATAATCCCTAGTAAGTTCTACTGCCATACTGTAATTTCTATTAATTATTGCAGTTAGCAATTCCACTTATTTCTTCATATTACTGTGCTCTTCAAATTGACCTGTGGACTAAAGTTTTCCCAATTGTAGCATAGTGAAATACTTGTCTGATCCTTTCCAGACAGTTGATGTAAGCATGGAGGCAAAGGGGAAGGCTCAGTGAAGGAAAAAGTTCTGACTGACAAGAAAAGTTAAGTAATTTTCTTAAAGTTAATTCCAGTTTTATGTGGCTTATGCAGAAGTTACAAGCTTAAGTATATGATTCAAGCTTTTTCATGTGTGCTGAGTTGAAACAGAGATTTGGGGACTTGAAACTACATTTGTCAAAACACCCTATACCTAAATGTATTTTTGCAATATACTCACTTAGTAATTGAGATCAGCTGAACTGCAAGTAAACAATATTCTATATTGTCATGCAAGATATGAAGAGATAGAAAAAGGAAATCAACTCAGTTTCCCATTAAAAAAGTAGCTAATTCTCCAGGTAAAGAGATGGCAAGTATCATTCCTATACCCTGGGGCATTAATGTTTTGGGAGCTGAAAGACAGTTCTGAAAGGCCACAATGCAGTAAAAGTGCTATTCTAAATTATTTTTTTTTATTTATTTATTTTTAGTTATTTGCCATAATGCACAAGGAGTTGCTGACTTGATTCTCACACTGCAGAGATTCATGTGGTGTTGCTTCAGTGAAGCTAGAGGGTTAATTCTTCATCTACACAATGGAAGGAAAGAAGAATTAAATTCCACTGTGTTACACATACCACTTAAACCTTAAATTTAATATTTTCTTTTTACTTTTGACTGCTTTAATGCATTATGACTTCATTCTCTTTCCTTTTCAGCATACAGTTCATATGAGCATGACAGTAATGTTCTTCCTCCAGGATTCCACCACAGAGACTATCATAGAGGGAGATTAAAGGGGTTTGCAAATACAGAGAATAAGGCTGTGTTGATAAACATTACATCCTTCCATGTAAGTTTAAATGGACATCCTACTGTTTCACAGGTTGTTAATATCATGCAACAATCTTGATCAGAAAGGCATGAGAAACGCTTATTGATTTTTCCTGCAAGACTGCAATTACTGCTAGTCTGCTTTTTGTATCTTGCAGGATGTTGTGGTAATGACTTCATCGAACATAGCCCACTCATTTCTAATGACTTCTTCATTTGAGATTTTAATGTTTTCAACTATATTCTTTCTTTTTTTGTGTGCTCTTAAAATAATGTAAACAATGTAAAAATAATGGAGTATGTATTTTAAAACTTAAATGGTACTTCATAAATAAAATGTGAAATATCTTCCAGATCAACACACTATTGTTATATTTTCCCAACCTCATTAAATGCAAGTAACCACGTTATATTTTCTGACAGAAGAAGTAGGTCAGCACACACCTCTGCAAACTGAATACAACCTTATATTTATTTTAGACTGGATGGCTGGAAGTGATTTCACATGGGGTGCTAATCTTCTGCTACATAATAGTATGTGAAAACCTGCTCCAGACTGTGAACTGGTGTCTGCCTTAACAGGTGCCCCACTGAATTCTGTCACTCTTAATATCTCAAGGACATATTGTCAGCTTTGCTCAGGGAAAAAAAGATCCTGCTCAGTGAGCTGTCCCCTACATGTCTTTAGAACTGCTACTGAATGAGTTATTACTAACAGGAGTGAAGCAGCTAAATATATCAGTGAGAACTCATTGTGTCCAATGACCATGTTTCATTTCTCCAGTAAGAATTTTTAAAATTAAGAGCTCTTTTTTTTTTTTTTTTTTCCCCCTCTTTTTCTTTTAATAGCTGTTAATTCATCTGGGTTACAAACCAAATAGTAAGTGGTAAAATGGCTGTTAAAAAAATGCTGATTGGTAAGAGCTTTCACTGTATCTGGGTAATGGCTGCGCAGGATCCCACTTCACACATCTATAATAAGAAAAAAAAAGTTACAATTACATAACCTAATTATTCATGTCACAGACAATGCAGTGAGTAGATTAAGTTCAACTAGGTTGCTTGGCCTGAAGACTGGAGTTTAAATGACAAAAAGAGAAACGTTCACCTGGACTAGCAAATCCAAAGTAAGACTACTGTTTGTCCTTTCTTTGCCAAGAGTGGACTTTCAAAACTTACTGTTTCAACTTACATACAGTAAGCAAAAGGGACAAAGTCAAGTGAGAAATCTTCAAGTCCTTGATTTTAGCCACAAGTATGCAGGGCATAATTTTTAGCAGAATTTATGGAGAGTGAATAGCCACACCACAGATTACTGCAGAGCATTCTCATCAGCCTTTTAGTCCAGTTTGTCTTTGGTGGAGACATCTGTCTTCACACAGGATCATGAGTGACCTGCTAGCTGACTTTTAAGCTTAAACTATAAAGTTATACAACGTAAATATTCCCCCTATGCCACTTACATGATCCATGATTTCTAGTCTGAACATATAGAGACAGAATATAAATTTGATGAAGTGATAGTTACCATGTCATAAAACCTTTTAATTCATTGTACTCTTGTTCTCTCGTGTTCTAGCTTTGTCTAGTCTATTCTACTCCATTCTAATTATAATTGATTATATATGGTACACATATTAACATATAAACAATGCATTACTCATATATATTATATATTTTTGTATATACTTATAAATATACGTTTTTATTCCTACGTCTTGGAATATACATACACATATATGTGTGTGTGAGTGTGTGCATGTATTGAAATGCATTTTGCACACACACATATATAGGGTGTTCCAGCCTTTGTGAAGACATCTGTAGAATTAGATCTCAATTCTTAACTTTCCACCCTCTTTCCATTGAGGTGAGATTTTGCAGCAGAATGAATAGGTAGAAACACATTGACACTTCAAAATTAAAATTATCTTATTGTGTTTATTATCACCTCTTATAATACAGGTAGCTAGATCTACAGGGGGAAAAAAAAAAAAAAAGTTAATGAAAATGCCATCTCGGTGTTGGAAGGATAAGGGAGAGAAGCAGGAACTGGTGAAAAAAAAAAAAAATCATATGTAAGTGATGCCAGACTCTTTTCAAACTTCATGTTAAGACTGGATGAGAAAGAAGTTGACAGCATCCCACTAAGAAATGAAGAGAGGAATAGCAAAGTGAAATGAATATTTGACAATAAACAAAGAACAGAGGGAGGAAGTGAATGAAGCATCAATGAAAATAATGCTAAGGCAAATGGATGCCCCATTAGTGACAACATGTGCAGATGTAATCTCTCAAGATTACATTCTCCAGAGAAAGCTTTCCTCTAGTAATAACAGTGAGACAGTTCTTAGCAGACCTGTTTGGATTAAAACACCCTTCTTTGTCGATGTCTTAGATCTTCCTGAGCTTTCTTTGTGTAGTAAAGACATTGTGGAAAGGACATGTGAGGGGTCAGACCCCTTTTTATTTCCAAGATACAAAATGTTAAAAAGGTCTGTGTGTTTCAAACCTGACATGCATGAAGGGGAGGTATATAAAAGTGTAATGATGACGTTGCTGTCAAATGTTCAACAATGCAAGTGTCTCTCAAGCCCTGGTGAGAAAAGCAATAGGCCAGGCCAATAAAATGGGCAAAGTTATGCCAAATTTCTGGACAGAAAACTGTTCAATACCTGAAGGGAGAAGAAACAAGTAAGAAAACTGCTTAGCACAGAGCGCAGATGCTTTGCCTGAAATTTCTGCAGAATGTATTAGCCTGCATGCTAATTGAGAACAACCTGTTTTACTGAAACAGCCTTATATGCACTTTGTAAGCAAGAATGTTTCCCTGAAAAATGCGTCTTGACTATAAAATAGGTGCCACGTCAAGAAATCAGTCTTGATAGTTTTTGACCATAGGACTGATGATTGTGAGGAAATGGATATAGATTATTCCTGACTGTAGACTGTTAAATTGTCTCCCAATGAAAAACTCCTCCAAACATGCTCAGAAAGACTATGTTGCACAAACTTAGCTTTTGAAATGTTTCCATTTTATGTCTTATATATGGAACAGACTGGAAGACACGGCCTGTGCTTTGGATTGTCCCAGAGTTTTTTTTAATATAGGGATTAAATAGAATTACTACAAAAGGAAATAAATTATTTTATAATTAAGTAAGTCTCAAAAATTCATAAAGTCCAGTGAGTGGATACTACCTCAAACACATTTCTACAGTTACTGTTCTTCCTTGGGAAAACTACCAGAGAATTTCTTAATTGTTTAATTAAGAAATGCAATGAAGATGCAAATTACACTGTATGGTTTATCCATTCACAGGTTAGTCACAGGTTACTTGAAAATACTTCATTTCCAAGGTTCTATGGTGAGCCAAGAGAAAAAGCAGCATGTCTGGGTTTTTTTAAAAATTGCATTCAGTGTGTCCAGACTTTCATGTATATTTTATAGGTCAATCTCAAAGCTAAGCGATATTAGCCAACTTCAAGGGAGTGTCCATTTTGTGAAAAAGATGTGACCTTCTTCATATTCAAGCTCACAAACTGTGATCTAGCAACAATAATGATCTCTGGAAAGCAGAAAGTTGTTGACACTGACTTCTTGAAAATTTCATGTGCCCTCAGGCTTTGCCCTGAGGCAAGCCCTTGGATGAGCTACAATCACTAACAATCACTTCCTTCTCTTACTACCTTCTTGGTCAAATCTGTATTTAGCTGTGGCATTTATCTATTTATCTGATTGGCAGGACACAGGTGTATATCATTAATGATATTCAAGATTTATTCTGCTTTCAAAAGTGAACTTTGAACTCTTATTATGAACTTCAATCCTGCAAATACTCATATGTATGAATAGTCTTCACACATGAGTGTTCTCATGGAATTGGAAAGGCACCACTCAGATGAATTAAGCTAGTCACATGCACAAGTGTAGAACTGAGGCAACTGCTTCTAAAAGCAAGTATCTCTTGGTACCCCTTCCACACAAAAAAAACAGAGATTCAAACATTCCTTTATATCATAAAGATATTAACAAGGCAATTCAGAAAGATGTTTGCTGCAGTCACATACCATTTTGAGGCAGAACTTTCTTTACTTGGTATTATGGTGCCTAGTACTCCTGGCACTACTCGGAAAAAATTTACCTGGCATATTACAGGTACAATGAGGCATACCACCCATGCTCTGGGCAGACATGAACTCACATCTTGTGAGTTTCATGCAAGCTAATTTGTACATAATTGCTGATAGCACCATGCTACACTTGCTAATGAACCCTTCTGAGAGACAGAGGGCTGGTGAGGACTGGTGCTGCATGAATGCAGTCACAACGCTTTTGAATCAGGACCAGCCTGAGCCTAGCTGCCGTGGAGACCAAATGCAAACACACCTTGAATTACAGCCCTAGAGGTGCTCTGGGGCAGCTCTAGGCATTCTGCCAATGCTCTACGCCAGTGGAAAGAACAACAGCCCACCAAGACTATATTAATCCTTTCTGATCAGCTGCCGCCTCCCCACCTATTCCTAGTTCATTGACACTCTAGGTAGGAATGCAGAGGAAAAGACTCCAGAGATATACCTGCAAAGGGAATTCCCCTTAGCCAGGAAGCTTTCTTTCACTCACTAGCTCTCTATGGCAGATACTTTTCACTGAAGGTAAAGCTGAAGTTTGACATGCACTTCAGAGATTGCTGACCTCAAGCATTCTGTGAAGGGTGAACTAAGCTGTTCATATTATTCTTCTGCTTAATTAGAAAAGAAATGGTTGTTGTCATGCACCAAAAAATCAATACAATAAAAATATTGCAGACTGTTCCTGCTCTCATTCAACCAAAACAAACTAAACTCAGCTAGCACCTAAGAACTAATACACCTACATACTAAAAACGAACATTCAAGCTACTGACAGAAGTTCACTTTGCAACAGGTGGGTATTTTGCCAGCTGCAAATTACTGTTCAAGGACACCACTTTTACCACATCGGATAAGAATGGAGATTAATCTTATTTTCTTCAGCAT